GGGGGGGGGACATACCTCTGTGAGGATGCCGAGCTTCTCCAGGGGACTCTGGGGGGACATGGAGGAGGGGCTGGCGAGGCTGGAGGAGGAAGGGGAGTTTGATGCAGAGGAGGAAGGGGTGGAATGGTGGCTCTGCTGGATCAGGTCTGGGAGGTGGTGGATGCGGCCGGCAAAGCCGTTCCTGTCCGCGTGCTGTGTGGGGTGATGGTGGTGGTGGTGGTGATGATGGTGGGGGCTGGGTGTGTGTTGGCCAAGACCCGGGCCTGACCCCGGGCCAGGGCTCGGGGCAAAGCTTGCGAGCAGGCCGGCGGTCTGTGCCTGGCCCGGGCCGGGACCCTGACGCTTTCTGTTATCACCTGCACTCTGGAAGTAGAAAGAGGGGTAGACGACTTTGGGTCTAGATGCGTTCCTGATGAGTTCAGGGGAAGGGAAGGTGTTAGCTAGAGCAAAGGGCGCGCTACAGTGGCTATTCTACAGGCGGGAAGAAAGTCGTTAGTCAATTACGTGGTTAGATAATATGGTAAGTTATTGTGTAGTTTGTTGGTACCAGAAAAAAGACCTTGTGTTGTGTGTACTGGTTCTGACTTCATGTCTATATCTGAAAGTCCTCCATGAAAATACAACAAACCTGAACAAATGTGATGCGTCCCTATTATGAAATTAGCTCCAGGTCTTTATGAGAGTTAAATTAAAATCTGTGGGGTTCAGTGCTCAACCTTCACTAAGCCTCTACACGCTGGAGCTACTCGCCATCGGGGATGAAAGAAAAGAAACATGCTCATCACACGGAACAAAATGGAAAAACACAGGGTGTGAATGAACCAAATACACAAAGACAGAACGACTCAGAGGATGTGGTGCGTTCCTGCTGCGTCTGTCTGACATGTCAGCCTGTACCTGTCTGACAATCAGAGTGCTGTCTTTGCAGGGCGTCGACCCCGCGTCGCTCTCGCCTTCATCGTGGACGATCATGGTTTTCACCGACTCCGTTTCTCCGTTGCTCAGCCTGGAAGAACTGCAGGACAGAGGAGGAGCCGCTTTTCAACACAAACACGAACTTTCATGTCAAAGAACATGAAGCCAACACGCTTGTTTTTTTTTTTATCCATTGATTGTTCTGAGCAATAAACGAAAAATGTTGTTCAACCCCAAATTATAATGGGTTATTTCCTGGGTCATGGAAGTGAGTTGTGTAGTTTTTGTGCAGTCCTGCTAAGAGGTCAGAAGTTTATCTTACACGGCTCTGGAGTCCTCAGGGCCGGAGGTCGACTCTTCACCTGCTTCCTGGTCCACCTCTTCATCATCGTCTTCATCTGTGGTGTCCGAGTCTTCGCTGGAAGATGAATAATCCGTCACCTTATTCGGCGGGCGAACGTCATCCACTGCACGCAGCTCCTTGGCCAGAGCCGTCAGGTCCTAAAGGTCAGGAGGTGAAAGGGTAAAAACAAGAGTCAAAGGTGTTTGTTTTAATCTCTCGCTGATTTTTCTCCGTCTGTTGAATTTCAGACGTCACATTAGATTTCAGTTAATCTTAAAGCAGGACAGAGTAAAGCTGCGGGAGAGGAAGAGAGGTTACAGAGCAACACCAGCCAATGTGAAGGCAAAGCCAAAAGATGAAGCGAGGGAGGAGGTGACGTCTCAGCCGAGGCTCTTCAAGCTACTGCAGGTAAGGTTAGTGGATTAATTCTAACAATGAGACAATTGTTATTAGAGCTGCAAAGATGAACATCTCAAACAGGATAGAAGAAAATGTTTATTGAGGTTAGAGAGAGAGAGAGAGAGAG